CCCCTCTTGGCCTTAATTTTACCTCTAGGCTTTCCATTAAGCAACACAGAAAAGTTGGTTGAAGAAAGGCTCCCCCTAATCCACCTACGCCACCGTACCCCAAACCCTTTTGCCTCCAGAACAACATCTAGGAAATCCCAGTCTACTTTATCATAAGCCTTTTCGAAATCAAGTTTGAGGAGAAAGCCTTTTTTCTTCGAGTTCTTCCACTGACTCACTGTCTCAGAAGCCACCATAATAGCATCAAGGATTTGTCGACCTTCCACAAAGATGCTTGGGCATCATGAATAATGCTAGGGAGCTCTTGTTTCAAACGGGCAGCAAGCACCTTAGAAATAATTTTGTATAAAGAAGTGACCAGACTAATGGGCCTATAATATTTGACTTTCAGAGGGTTTGAGTTTTTTGGAATCAAACAAATGTAAGTTTCGTTAGTCTTCTGGTTGACAATTCCCTTCTCGAAAAAATCGTGGAACACAGTAACCAAATCCGATTTAATAATGTTCCAAGCCTTTTTCAAAAATTCATTGCTCATTCCATCTGGACCCGGAGATTTAAGAGTGCCCAAATTTGCCACTGCCTTTCCTATCTCATCCTCTGTAAAAGGGTTTTCTAGAATAGTCATATAGGAGTCTTGGAGGGGAACCCACTCCAAATTCTCAAATAAAAAGCCACTGTCCATGGAGTACAAGGAGGAGAAATATCTTGAGAATTCTGCTTCTATATCTTCCCATTTAGTCAAAGAGGTGCCCTGTTCAGTTTGAATTTCAGCTATGTAGGCTCGGTTTTTCTTGTGTGTAGCACATCGGTGAAAGAAATTCGTGTTCTCATCTCCTTCTTGCAGCCATTTTATTTGCCCTTTCTGCATCCACAATCTTTGCTCAGTGAACGCAGTTTCAATCAAGCACTCTTTTAGCCCCTGTCTTCTATTGAAATCAACTTCAGAGAGAGAATTAATTTCTTCCTCTCTATCCAAAGCATCTATGGCTTTCATAAGACCCATCTTCTTGAGGCCAATGTGGCCAAAAACCTCTCTGTTCCATTTGGTGAGCACCCCTTTCAGACCCTAAAGTTTCTTCATGAAACCATAACCCGGGCATCCTTGAAGAGGATTAGTTTTCCACCATTGATCAACCAACGACATCAAGAGATGGGACTCTAACCAAGCATTTTCAAATCTAAAAGGAGTAGGGCCCCATTTAATATCTTCAGATGCCAATTTAATTGGATAATGGTCAGAAATGGTGCGAAAGAGTCTAGTAGCCCTTTGATGTGCAAAAATTGAGACCCATCCCTTAGATAAAAGAAAACGATCTAACCTCGAAAGAATTGGGGAGGAACGCATATTTGACCAAGTGTAAGAACCATTGTCCAAAGAAGGGCCCAGGAGGTCGTTGTCCTCAATAAAGGAATTAAAATCCTTCATACTTCGAGTAACTCTTCTGCCTCTACCTCCCATTTTTTCCGAAATCCATCGAGTCACATTAAAATCCCCTATTATACACCAACACCCTTGACAAAGGCCAGCTAAATCCTCCAACTCGCGCCAAAAAATAGTTCTGCCTCTAGTAGAAGGAGGTCCATAGATACCTGAGAACCACCCTGTCCTACCATCAAAAAATCTGAAATTAAGGGAGATAGAGAAGGAACCCAACAATTTATATTTCAATACATCGTTGGTGTTCGCAAATACATAGGCCCATTTTATAAGGCAGAAAATAAGATTTTTATGTTTTGCAAATTGGATTGGTTGGGTCAGCCTCTATTTTTAACCCAAAACCCGACCCAACGTGGCACCCATGAGTAGAGAGAAACCCTAGCCATTCCAGTTTGGAAACTTCACCTTCACGGATTGCCTTTAAGGCAACCTATCGTCGTTATCCATAGACTATCATCCACCGTCGCCCGTTGATCATCAATCACTGCAATCGTTGACTACCAGCCACCGTCGTCATGCACCAACATGGTTTCCATCTTCCTCATCTCTCCAATGTCATCTCATCTACCACCCACATCTCTACTGCCGTCTGTTGCACACCATCGACCGTCGACCTCCCACGGACGCTCCATCCAGTCAATCTTATTAGGGTTTTCTCTTATTATTGTTGAAGGCTAACTTTTAATCTCTTTTGGTTCAATGGTTATGTCTTGTAAAAAAAATGTTTTTGTTTAGCCACACCTCGAGGACAAGTGTGTTTTACGGGGTTGGTAATGATAGGAATGACCCTTAGGGCAATTAGAGACATTATCAGACTATTGATGGTATCTAGTAATTAGTTGAGAGGTTGTTAGGTAGAGTTATAAATATAGTGAGGGGTAAGGATGAGGATAGGTAATTAATGATTATGGTTTAGACTTGAGTAAGAATATTCAAGAGGAGGAAGGTAAGTACCTCGAATTACTTGGAGATACTTATTTCTTATATCTTTTATATTTCAATACATTGTTACCGTTCGGGTTTTATCACAAAAACCTTCATTGAATTATTGGGTCAAGGTTGAGAATGAGTTGTTCAGGTAGGATCTACTTTTACTACAAATATATAACTATAAAGGTAGGATCTTACTTTTACTACAAATATAACTATAAATGTAACTGTCATTACAGTAAAATAGACATTTTTTATTTTCTAAAATTGTTAAATTTTTTTATCTTGGTTAGGGGTTGTTCAGGTAGGATCCACCTCCACTACAAATACTAGTATAAATGTAACTTTCACCTATTAAATTTTTGACAGTAGAATTTTACGGGTAGAAGTAATAAATATAGAAAAATAGATACTTTTATTTTCTAAAATTGTTAAATTTTTATATTTTTGTTTTGCACAAAGATGGGTGTTGTCCGCTCTCGATTTTCAATAGGGATGACAAAAAAACCTATGGGACCCGATCCCTACGGGGATCTGATCCGATCGGATTGGGGAATCTCCGGTTTGACCGGAGATCCTAATCGGTGTCCTCGACGGGGACGGGGGAGGACTCCCCGCCACGTCCCCGTCCTGTCTAATATTTTTTTCTATTTTTTCTATAATAATATTAATATAAATTTTTATAAATACTTTTTAAACTAAAAAAACGAAAAAAACACAAGCGAATAGCCCATTTAACCATTTTCTTCACTTCTTATATTAGTAATAAAAAATTAATTAAAAATTTTTAAAAATAAAATTAAAAATTAAAAAAAATATGGAGAACTGTCCCCAATTGGGGAATCCCCGGCCCCAAAATTTCGGGGACGGGGATGGCCACCCGACCCTATCCCGTCCCGTTGCCATCCCTAAGTGCTCCTCTAGAATTGGTATCCAAAGATCTTTTTTTATTATTATTATTTTTTAATTATGAGCATGTATATGTAAGATTGGTTTCATTTGATAATTATGTTTTCAAATATGGTAAATACGAAAACTTCTTTCGAAAAACATAAAAATCTGAAAGTAGAAATTATAACTTTGGTATTAAGTTTCGAGGGTCTGTGTTTAAAAAGTTTTTAAACGTTAAAAGATGTAATAGATTTATGTGGACCTGTCAATTTTATATTTAATAGGTGAGAAGGATTCACTAGGCAAGTTGAGAGACTAAAGTTGTAATGTAACCCAATAATAATAATGTCAAAATCAAACTTGTTATTTAACTCAATTTACAATAAAAATGCCATAAATTTTAAACGGTGCAACATATTTATAATAATATCTTTTCGTAATTATATATTCAATATTAAAATGAAATCATCATACTGCTATGTTTGTACTTTTCTAACAATCATATAAATAGATCACAAATATATTGTTTTCCAATTTCTGTCCATGGAGAAAAAAAATGTCATTTTTAGGACTAATATAGTTTACTTCACCTAGTGCTGCGAAAGAGTAATTGATCAGATTTGTTGACTAAGAATAAGATATTTTAAATTATTGCTATTTACTTGAACGTTTAAAACTTTATACAGATTTCAATATCTGAACCTACTTGAGTACATCTTTTTCAACCTCAACACACTTTAGATCGTCGTTCCATTTGCAATGACATTGTATTTTGACACACGATTTGAGATGGAGTGTCGTTTTTAGTCCACATTATAGTACTTTCGCACTCGTGATCGGTACAAATATCTAGGTTTAAATGTTCCATATTGTTCACCCTCTACTCTTCAGGACAAGCTCTATCATAAACTTCATGTACACAAATATAATTTCTGTAAAGTTCATTAATTTAGTTGGTTGCTAGCGGTTATTTATGATGAAATGTATGTAAATTTAACACTTGTGGTTACTGAATAGCAAACGAACACAAAACAATATATTTCTATTTAAAGAAAAAAGAATCTCGCTATTATAGAAAGTTTATAAACAAAGTACAACCCTACATAATTCATTGACTTTCTCATCTCTCCAAGTACTTGATTAATTTGATACGTTTGGATTTGTAAGTATTTCTTTAAGAGAAGGTTTTGTTAAGAATCCACGTCTAGGGACCTAACAAGGATTTATACTATAAGTGATCTTATTCTCATGGTGAATTGGGATGGAACCCTATGATTATTAATAGGGGTATCAGGACCCAAAAGCTTTAACAAACATCTGGTAGAAAATGGAATCCGACAAATATTATCGAGTTCAAAAGAGTCACCATCTAGGGGCATGTGTTAACAAGGGTGTATAATATAAGTGTTCTACTTCTCTCCTTCCCAATTGGTTTTGAGATGAAACTCATGAATATTAATATGATATTAGAGTCCAACAAGCTCAAAAAAGCATCCGGTCTAAAAATGAGATCCGATCAAGATTGTTGAACCCACATTGAAAAGATCAGAATTAAGGAATCCAACAAGGGTTTATAATATGAGTGGATAACATGCAAGATTGTTGAAATTGCTACGACCAGCGATTACAGCTTATCAGACCTAAGGTTGGTTGGAAAGAACTTAAGTGATTCTCTGGTCTATTTGGTCTTCAGCTCGATCTCGTCAGTCTTTTTTTGGCCCTACTTTTTAATACATAAAATATAAAATGACAGCCTTCGTAGGTTTACTTCTAATTTAACTAAAATTTAATAGAGTATATAAATTGAGTCCATTAAGAAATTTTAATCGGTGAAATTATTAGTTTAGAGTTTTAATTTACTCAAAACTGATAAAATTATTAGTTTAGAGCTTTAATTGACTAGCAGATGTATAAATTGATTTTCCCTTCATTATCCACTTTTGGAATGTTGGCTAAAATTAAAAGCTTCAAAAATTAAATTCTAAAAATCTAGACTTGCTTTTAAAAATAAGCCATGAGTTTAAATATATTTAAAAAAAAAAAAGCCATGAAAAGGAAGAATAAAATAAAACCAAATAAAAATTGATCTTTTTTTTTTACCAAAAAAAAAAAATCTATACTGTCTACAATCCCAAAGGTTATCTTAATACTAGCATGTCTCAATTCTCATTACTATAAATATGGACTTAAATAAACTACTTCTAAAGTTTCTTTAAAAAATTACAAAATTTCTCTAAACAATATGAAAATTTTCTCATGATATTATTCGTTAATATCCAAATATCCAACAATATATGTATAAATTTAATTTCGACATCGACATCAATATTTTAAGTTCGTCTAAACATCAAGATGGCATGTATATATCAAGTGAAAAGCACAAAATTTTCATACAGCTTCTTCTATAAGAGAGCATTGGTGTCCAAACGATGGAACTAAAAAGGTATTAAGCATAAACAATAAGAGCTCGGAGAAATGACAACTTTGCCCTTGACTTAAATAGAATACAAGTTTCAAAACATCAATGAATTTCAACACATACAATGAATTATTTATTCATGGTACAGAAAACTATCGGTTTTGACAAAAATAAAGAATGAAGGTTCCAATAACCTCAGAATTCCCTGCTCTTTGGCACCTGCAAAGTACACAATGCTATTTGATGGTCTTTCCTTTTTGATTTCTATAATTTTAACATCTCACAGCCTTTCTCCAACTCGAAAGGATCAACCACGACGACATAATAGTCCCGCTATCAGAAGCAAATATATCTCAAATACACGAGCAAGTAGTGATTCGCAGCTTCAATTGAGAGCGAACGAGGGAATAAACACTACACTGAACCATAACGGTTTTGCTCTAACATCATCACATTGCAATAGATTTTGATTTGTAGGTCACAGATGACCGGCAACCAAAATGGCAACATCATAAGTTAACTAACTGACCTGCTCTCCGATTAAATCGAGACCGACTACTAGAAAAGTGATGCCCTGAAATAATAGGAAGTAGAAGTGAATCCCTTGCGCAGATAACAAACTTCTCACCGAGGCGGTTAACAAAATAACTGCAAGAGCCAATTCCTTCCTGTACAGACGGTTTCTTTTGCCTTTCCCTGCTTTCTTTGATATCTCGAGCTTCGTCAGTTCCTGAAGACCTGAATCTGAGGACGATCGATGAAGACCTGAACTTTCAACTAGAGGTTCTAATTCTTTTTCAAAAGCAACTAGATCGGTTTCAGATGATCTTCCCAGTTTTTTCGTCACTATCCATTCATATGAACTTCCAAAGCGGAATAACCCTGATATCATGGCATTGAATTTGGTAACGGACATGGTGTTTTCAAATAGAAGATAGGGGACTATAAAAGGAAACGACCGGGGTGCGGGGAGAATATTTAAGATCGACATGATTCCAGGAACATAGCAAACGACCCAAGCCGGTAGATGAGCTTCCGGAAGGAACATGGTCAGAGGGAGAATGATGCAGAACAGGGTAAAGGAATAAAACGGAAGGACGAGCTTTCGCAAGAGGAAGAAAAGAAAAATCAAATTAGCTTTCTTCTTCCAATTCATCTGGAACACAAAATCAAGTGTTAGCAAATAAATAGCTCATCAAACCAAGTATTTGGAACTTGCCTACAAAATGTTTATGGATTTGATAGGACAATCTAAATATAAAATTAAAACAAGGCTTCAACATTGAAATCCATACTTCTCTATTATATGGAGCTAATGGAGGCCATAACTACATGATTTTAGAGATCAAAACAACAAAAGCAGATGACACATTGAAAATGATGCTTAATATATGATATCCATGGATCATTAAATTTTGATGAAATCTAATCAGCAGTGCCCAATGACTTGTCATCTAATGGCGTCAAAATTGAGGGGGTATGTGTAAAAAAATGTTATGGATTTATAGGAACCAATGTTGATTACTAAATATATAAAATGAAACAGGCAATATCTCCATGTTTATGGTTATGAGCAAACCCATGAAAACAACAGCTCAATGAAGCATTTAGCTTCGAAAAAGCAATATTATCTCTCTCTCTATCACATCATTGAAACATCAAATATCCTATGAGTTTTGATTGTTGTAGGTTAGAAAGATATCCGCTCTAAGTGTGAGTGATGTACACATGTTGATAATAAACGGACATGAGAGGCTTAAACTTCATCCATCTTATCTTTCAACCATTGTCCAACCGGTAATGCGGGACAGCTGGCGAGACCGGGCGATTTCTCAAGTTTCTTATGTATTATGGGCAGTTTCTCATAGGGGCAAGACAACAAATTTTGAAGTGACAGATTACATCTATGCATATAACTAGGCATTTGTAAGCTTTTGAAAAAAATGATTCTGATAGAATCCAAATAGCTAAAATAAATTGAAAATTAAAAGGCAGAAGGATTACAATAATCCCCAAGTCATTCGAGGGACTTGGACCCTCCCCTCTTGAGATCATTCCGGCCTAAACTACACTAAACAATTGTGTACCTTCATCATTTCTCCTCACTCTATCTATAACAACTCTCCCTAACAACTTCCCTATCTAATTACTGACATACTTTTACTATTCTATTAATAACCTTACTTACCCCCAAAAGTCGTTCTATCATATTCCTAAAGAGTTCGAAACAAATATACAAAGATTCTTCTCCTGAAGGAGTCTCGAGGACGACGAAACTTCTGAGTCAGTCATTAGAAATAGTTGCGATTGTGCAATCTTACAAAAACTAGACAGTGATTTTTCAAGGTAGCAAGAAAGAACAAACCGGATTCAACACCTGACACTTTGGAAAAATAACAGTTAGCTTTGAAGCCCTTTACAACATTCCAAGTACAATCAGAAAGAGTACTGGATGACTAACTAGAATGGTAAAAAGTCATTGGTCCAATTACCCATATAGAATGACTGAACAATTTATCAGAAGAAGAAAATCAACTTAACGTTTGAAAAATTTAAGAGCAATATTCCAATTTCAAGTTCTATTTTTATGGCTTTTATGGAAAGAAAGAAGCAAACGGGTTTTTGAAGATTATTTTTCTACATAACAGTGTACAGCATACTTCCTCTGGGTGGTATTTAAACCATAACTTTTCTTTTGTACTTATAACCTCCTCACGATTTTGAATTTTTGCTTGAATTTTTGTATGATTGGAAAGCTTTGTTTAGTTCTTTATTGGGTGACCTCACCTGGCTCTTAGGTTGTCCTTTGACATTTTTTGGGATACAACTGTTCTAAGCTTCTAATAAAAAAAAATGTTCTATACCACATATCTTATACAAAACTAAGATCATGAATTTCAAATTTTAGCCTTAAGGCTATGAGATTATAACACGCATGCCAACTCATATCAAGTCTTTAAAGAAAAAATAAATTGCACACAGAATAAATAACAAATAAGTTCCATACCTTTGATTTGAGTATATCTGAGAAGCACAAACGAAACAACTGCATTGGGCCTGAATGCCAGCGGTGTTGCTGTTTCTTGTATGCTTCATATGACTCTGGAAGTTCACAAAGGCACTGAAAAAGTAAAAGCTTAGAAAATATTGCTATCAACGATATTGTAATGGATTCGGATGCACCAAAGTGAATACACACCTTCACATCATTTAGATATATGAACTTCCAGCCAAAAAGATGAGCACGAACAGCAATATCCATGTCCTCAACAGTTGTTCTTTCTAACCAGCCCCCACATTCTTCTAGAGCTTTAATTCTCCAGACTCCAGCAGTTCCATTGAAACCAAAAAAGTTGATAAACATGCCATTTACTTGCTGCTCGACCTCGAAATGGAATGATAAATTTATGTTCTGCAATCTTGTGAGCAAGTTTTCATCCTTGTTCACAAATGACCACCTTGTTTGGACCAATGCAAGTTCATCATTCCCCTAATGGAGAAAATGTAGACACTTAAGTATCGTATCTAGGGTCTCTCCCAAGCTTATGAAAAATAATGATTGATAAAAAAAAGGCTGAATGTCATGGATTCCTTGATGATGGAAATCTTGTGGTTAGAAAAGGGCCAAAGCCAAAAGCAAATCAAGTAGATATGAACTGAAGTTAACATTTAGTAGGATAGAACAAAAAATAAGGAGTTTTAAAAATGGAGAAGGAAGAGAACAACAGGAACTTCTACTGAAAATCAAATAACTTGATATATGACCTAATTTTTGTTTAGAAGTTAGAACTAAGGCCCGGTCCATAAAGTTTCAATATCCTGATTAAGTAGGAAACCATAATTAAATTTCTTCAGCAACCCTAAAAATTATAAAATTCAAGCTTCAACTGCAACCAAAGGCTCCAAGAAGTTGCAATCTAACCGAAAAACAAGATAAATTGGCCAATAATTCCACGAAACATTGTACTAGCTGCCATGAGATCAACTTAAATGCTTGAAGAACAATACTTTAGATGCGAGGTTTTGGATCAGTAAGTCTTGGATTCATAAATGTAAGGGGGATGGTGGGATAGGAAACTGCATTCTTTTTTTTTAATGAAAAACAAATATTCACTGCTATGATGAAATATGTCAAAGGAAAAAAAAAAAAAAAAACCACCCCTGCTGGATGGGGGTACAAAAAAGACTAGACTGTGACTAGAAACTGCATTTGAGGGCATTTTATTGACGAACTTTTTGACATTTACCTGTTGTAGATGTCTAAATGAAGCCCAAGTAAAGAAAAAGAAAAAAACAAAAAAAAGAACCAGGAATTATGAAGTTGAATTTATCAGAGATAATCCCAGAGTTAAGCTATATGCAAGAGGCTTCTTATCTAGTTGTGTGATTGAAAAACCAAAACGCCACATCTTGATCGAGTGTAAAAAACAGTAGGATTCTTTTTTCAGAATCTAATAACTGTGCTCGTTAACCAAAGTGGAAAAGTTTGAGTCACTCAGAGTTTTCCAATAAGCAACGTTTGAGAATAAACTCCAAGGGACTATCAAATACAATTAACTTGACGCATATGAGCTGTAAATGTTCATAACGAATTCCGAGACTTTTCTCTACATCCAAAGATAGTAAATGTAACAAAAGTATGCACCTCTGCAGCTTATACAGATTATTCAATTAAAATTTACCTTGAAATGTGGAATAGTTTTCTTTAAAAAGTCTGGTCCTGGCTGAAAATCCGCATCAAAGATTGCGACAAACTCGTAATCTTTCACATAATCACACCCCATTGCAGATTTGAGATTCCCTGCCTTGTATCCTGTCCGTATGAGGCGGTGTCTATACAGTATATGCACACCTCTCTGTTGCCATTTTTGTACTTCAGCCTTGATAAGTTGTTGAACATCTAGCTCATCAGAATCATCTAAAACCTGTACAAGCATTTTATCCTTTGGCCAATCCTGGATACAAACAGCTGCAATAGATTGTTGGTAAACCTGTCCACCCACCAGTGAGTGTAAGTATGAAACTTGTTAAGAGGTCATATGAAAGAACAAAAGAAACTTATTTAAAAAAAAAAAATCACAATAAAAAATAGTAAACAAAATGTACAAAAGATAAGTTTACTATCAAACAAGCAAAAGGGATCTTTTGTTTATATATATATATATATATATCATAGTAACAAACATTTCATAGAAAATAATGAAATATATAGGACCAGTTTGGTAATGTTTCCATTTTTTGTTTCTTGTTTCTGTTTATAATTTATGAGAAATAGAAATGTTTGGTAACTATTCCTTTTTCTCGTTTCTCATTTTTAAGAAACGTTTTCATCAAGATCTCTAGACAAATCCCAATTCTTGACCATCTAGAAAGAGAATTGGAGCGAACCCAAGAAAGATCAAGGGGTTAGATCCACCAAACTGAAAATCACCTCCCTAACTTCCTGCAATTCAAAACATCCCTCAGCCACTACACGATACCAATACTGTGGGAGAGTGGAGGACATTGAGTACCACTTTTCAATGTCCTCATCGTCAAGACTTTTTCCTCTTCCACAAGAAACTTAGAAACCCAATTAATCCACTGCAAAGTGTTCCCATCCTACGGAAATAATAAGTTCTATAATCCCCCTCACAGATCCATTGATTCTTCCCTTTTCCTCCAGCATGACTCTCCACTAAAAAGCAGAATAGCAGTAATGAATAACTTTTTCAACAGATAGAACTATTCTAAATTGGAGTGGAAAGAAAGGAATGTGTCAGTGAACACTGCTTAGCACTAATTAATTGATTCATGTAACTGCTTTTAGAAAACTTAATGCTAACTCCAGCAGTGAATTATATCACTATACAATTGAAAATTTCTCGCAATACTGCTTTTTTGTTTTCTTTCCTCTTCAGTCCATCGTGAGTTTGTATCCTTGAACATTTCTATTATCTTTTCATTAATTAGATGAGAAGTTGTGTCTTGTTAAAAAAAAAAGGAACATTACAGAATTATTAAGGAAGAAAAATTCATACTCCGAATGGAGAAGCAACGATCTTACCCTAGGTCTTACTAGGATATAAAAATTGATCGTCTCTGTATATCTCCATATCCTAGATCTCCATTTAAACCCAAACCCTTTCTTCTAGAGGACCTCATCCAAGAAATCATAGTCAACATGATCATAGGCTCTTTCGAAATCTATCTTAAAAATCACCCCTTCCTGTTTCCTCTCTTTGTAATCCTCAATCACTTTAGTAGCCAAATAGCACTTGGTCCAAGATTTGTCTTCCTACAATAAAAGCTCCATGGGAATTATAAATCGTGCTGGGCAGGACCTTCCTCAATCAGCCAACGATTTGGCAATGATCTTATACAAACTCGTTGCCAAGCTAAACGGCCTAAAGTCCCCGACCTCATTTTCATTCTCCTTTTTAGGGATTAGACAAAAATAGGTCTTGCTCATGGAGGCATAAATAATCCACGTCTCATAAAACTCTCTAAAAACCTTCCACGTATCCTCCTTAATGAATTACCAACTATCCTGAAAGAACACCATAGTAAAACCATTCGGCCCTAAGGACTAATTTCGATCAAAACCAAAAACCACACTTTTGATTCCATCTAGAGTAAATGGGGCTTCTGCCTTCTAGACCTTCCCTATCACTATCAGAGATGGGACATCAATCTAAACCCTCCAGAAAAGGCCTTGGGAACTGAGGAGGAGCATAGAGACCTGAAAAGAAAGAGACGATCTCCTTGTCCTCCCTCACAACCTCCTCATTCTCCTTTTCTTAAAGAATCAATGAAATTCTTATTCCTCCTATCTCAGGCAAAATTATGGAACAAAGTGGTATTATAGTCTCCCTCCTTGGCCCAATTGACCTTGGCTTTCTGTCTCCAACTAACATTCTCCTTTCGAATAACCTCCTCAAGCTTCCCTTCAAGGGCACTCAATCCTCCCTTAACTCAGGGGATAACCCTCCTCCCTCTCCCAAACCATCAAGAGACTTAGCTCTTTCCAAGATCTAAGTTTCTTGACCCTAATGTCACCAAACACTGATCTATTCCACTCCTTCAGAAACCTTTGAGTTCTAAGTTTCTCCGTAAAAAGGAAGCCTTCCCACTTGCTGGAAACACTCGACGCCCAACTTGACAGGATTGAAGATTTAAAGGATGAGTGAGAGAGCCACATACTAATCTTAGGACCCACTAACGAGGCTGAAATCCAAACAGACTGGCCAGTGGTTAGAAGAAATTCGAGGACCCAAAGATTGTCTAGCTTTAAGGAAAAAATCCACCCCTTAGAGACTAGGAACCCATCCAGCCTACTACAAGCTCTACTGCTGGACCTTTCATGAACTAGAGGAAGATCAAGAAGCTCTCAACCATCAATAAAGCTGTTGAAGAAGGGTCAAGGAACACTTACATCTTCTTACCTCCCTCTCATTGCACATGGGAATCTGCACCAACACCATTGGATAATCATCAAGACTAGCACCATTTTCGTCAGAGATGGAGTACTCGAACGCTGCCACAGGCTTCAATCGCCTGAACTTGATCCAGAAACACCCTAGCATTAAAACCAAACGATCCACTGACTGGATCAGGAACAGCACAATGCACATATTGATCAAGATCTGTAGTGGCGGAGCCAAGTAATTTGCACGAATCTCAAGCCAATTAGCATACAGAAAGCCTATCATTCCAAGAACCTCCGCTGAAGCGGAACTCACCGACGGCGGGCTGAAGTGCCAGCCATTGAAGTAGGCCACAAGCTCAAAGACGAGCAATAGCAGCACTATGATCAAAATGGCTTTGATAACCCTATAGAGCCGAGATGAGGCTGAATCAGCTGGAGAATCTCGAGACGCGATCCGACGATTGGCAGTGCGGATAAGGTAAACGACGCCATTGGTGATGGAGGCCAAGGAGCCAGCAATTTGCTGGAATTTCAAGAGCCATACCCATGAAATCTGGCGGGCACTCCGTGTTCTCACCCGGTCCTTATCAGCCGTCCGATCTCCGGGAGCCCCAGGTTTCGGGATCTCAACGGTGAGAAATGGAGGGGAGGCCGAGAAGTTGTCGGGCTTTTCCAGCGAGAGTTCGTCGTGGTTCCTCTCTCTCTGCTTGTTCCACCATTCTTGGAACTCATAATTCGGTCCTCGAGACATACAGAAACCCAGAAATGAGGAAACAAACGAACAGAATCACGCAACCCAGATCCGAATTTCTCTTCCTCGATCAATGGGAATCAGTAATTCATCTTGTAGAGCAAAACCCAGAAGCGAAAATGGAAAAAAATCAGTACGCTCAGCGTGATTTCCCCAATCGAAGTAGAGGAGAAAGAAGAAAACGGAAGCTCCGCCAAAAATATGAAGCAAGAGTGGTAGATTACACGACACACACTTCGTATTTCGTTGAGTTTTTTTACTTTAAATTTTGTACACTGCTCGGGAAAGTAAAATGTGAAAGAGGCTTCAAAATTCCTTAGTTTTCATGGATCAATGCAGGAGAAGGCAGGCCATGTGCGATTTCGAGATCCGAAGCTGGACCTTACGATCCCCACGCGCTCGTTGTGCCATTATATGCGTCGGATTGGATAATCTGTTTCCTTGTCTCCACTCCAATCTTCCACGCTCCACATTTCTTACCAATCGCCATTACAAGACCACGACGTCTGTTTTTTCTCATTTTATTTTATTGTATGTTATGCATTGATTTATTATTAGGCTAAATTATAAATTCTAAGTAAGTTTTTTTCTCTTCTCTCTCTCTATTTTATAAAACTTCTAATAAATCCCTATCATGTTTATATTTGTTAGAGATGAAATCAGAGTCAATCATGTGGGTCTATCGTATCAGAGCCTCGGTTTGAATAGGCTGAGGTAAGGAGGCTACACGACTTTTACTCCTAACTGACCAGTGAAACTCCAGCTTGGCATCGACTTGGACATACAAAGGCCGATGCCATCGACATATAATTCGCAGACTATGAAGTAAGGATTGCTAGTAATGACAAAACAATACTTTCCAAAGTTCTCACTATAAAAAGTAGGATCGATCCTTACAAAGGTGTGCAACTTTTATTAAGGTCGGACTAAGTGCTAACTTAAGCTTCGGAGTGTATGTGTCGAGCATGCAAATTTGACTTAGACATAACAAGATCTTTTTGTTAGGATTCCAAATACAAGAACCTAGTAGATAACTATATTGCAATCTCAAATAGAAACTACAATATCGATAGCTTTTCGAGAGGGCTATCTCTCTCCCAAAGAACTATCTCAAGTTCCGCACACAAAATTATCCCCCAAGATGCCCTTATTTATAATAACTCCCCTCTAGCTAATTACCATATTGCCCCTTCACTAACATACTAACAATACCCCCATTAGGACTCTCACATTACCCAACCCTCCAAAGACACCTTGTCTCCAAGGTGTGCATACACAAATTGACTTTTAACACCAACAAAACTAGAAACCTAGCTAAATAGCAAGTAAGAAAACCCTAGATTCTGACTCCATTTTGACGGACGATGGCGGACGATGTGTGCGATAGACAGTAAATCGTGCGGGAGATGGTGGTGGTGATGATAGACGATGGCACAACCAATGATGGCAGCAATGGTGTGTGGACGGCGGATGGTGACAGTGACAAACGACGGTGGAGGCACAGGTTGCGGGTGATAGTGGTCGATTATTGGTGGCATGTGGTGGGCGATGGTAGTATAGGTTGGAAGGTAGAAAAGAAAGGTGAAGTGGTAGCTAGATTTTAGGTTTAAGATTAAGAACATGGCCCAAAGCCCATCTTGTATTTCTATCTCCTTTTCTATCTTTGAAAAAGTCTTGGGCCTTAAACACTTTATCCAATTCCAACCTATTTCCCTTAGTAACTTCCAATTGCAGCTCATTCTCTTTAGCACATTCGACTGCAGAAAAATTAGGGCACTAAATCCATGCAGCTTCTCTTTTCTCCCTCCATGTTTTGGAGCGTATGCGGCAAGATCACCATTCCTATAACTTCGACCACCCAAGCATTTGCCGGCGATGCCTTCCATCAGTCCTCTGTCTCTTTTTTCTTTCATTTTCGTTTGGATTTCCTACTTTTCTCTAGCCTTTAGACGCCAACAGTCGTCGGCCATCCTTAAAGAATCCAATCTCCCTCGTCACATTTATCGCCCCAGCTCTCTCACGACCGATCTTCAAGTCTCATTGGATTTTAAGTCGTTCTTCTTGCAATCGTGCCCGACCCTTCTTTTTTTGCCGCTTCTTCATTGGAGAACCACCATGAAAATCTGATCCGATCATTCTCGAACTCTTGCAATTCCTTCTTGGATATTTAATTTCCTCTTCGTTCTTCCCTTTGCAGTTCCGCTATGGTTGTTGCCTTCTTCCTCGCCTCCTTAGCTTCTTTATATTCAGTTGAGGGTAATTTTTCTCTTCTCTTCTTGATGAACCCCTACACGACAATATTTTCCCTCCGCAGTTCAATTTCTATCACGCTCCAGTCCACATTCTCGAGTTTGATCGTCGGCTTCCTGCAATCCTTCGTCACTACTTCCGAATGCTCTTCGCCGTCGCTTCTTCCTTCCTTGATCTCTCTTTTTCCTCTCTAACAGTAAACCCCTTTTGCATTTTCTTTCATTATTCGAACCATTTCATTTGAAAATTCCGTCATTTCTCTCAACAATTGCTGCAACTTCATTTCTATCAGTAATCTTTGTAACCTTGTCATTGCCTCGAATGAAAGATCCATGGCCAGGACGAACTTGCTCTTATACCAATTTGTTAGGATCCCAAATACAAGAACCTAACTAGATAACTATATTGCAATCTCAAATAGAAACTACAATACCGATAGCCTTTCGAGAGGGATATCTCTCTCCCAAAGAACTCTCTCCCAAAGAACTCTCTCAAGTTCCTCACACAATACTATTCCCCAAGATGGTCTTATACTCTCCCTAATACCCTTATTTATAACAACTCACCCCTAACTAATTACCGTATTGCCCCTTCACAAACATACTAACAATACCCCTATTAGGACTCTCACACTTTTCTCATCTCGTTTTCTTTATTTAACTTATGATGCTTGACTAATAAATCATGGTTTTCATGAGTTAGCTTAGTATTCACTCATTATTCTTCTTCTTAAGAGTTAAATGTTTACTACCTAATTTTCCAAATTGATTTAATCTCATTATAAGCATCCATAAGCTCATCAAAAGAAGGATTTTCAAAATATACCTCATCACCGTCATCTTCATCTCCAAAAGCCATGAAATAAATATTAGCTACTTCTTCTCCGCTTTCAAAATCACTCCCTTCATTACTTTCATCCCAAGTAGCTTTCACAGCATTCTTGTTTCTCCTCAAATATGACTTACGTAGTAGAAGGCATTCAGATCTTACATGTCCAATCTTTTTACACTCATAGTAGATGATGACGTCTCTAATGCTCTTTTTTCCTTTAGCATCTTAACTGTTGGTTTTCTTTAGAGGTACCTCTACTTGAAATGTTCCTTAAACTTTTTGGATAAGTAGGCAAGTTTTTCCTCACTTTCAGAAGCCCCTTGGAAAGATATAGACTTTAATGCTAGACTTTTTTTCTTTTTGACGTCCTCTTCCATATTGTCTTTCATGATTATCTTCATGGCCTTGATTTGACCGCCTTTAAATTTTTATTGATTAATGGAATATTTTCCATAATCCAGTGAGTGTTTTTTATTTAAATATTGAAAGGTGATTAAGACAAGATGATTCATCCAACAATATTTTTCTCACTTATTGATTGATCCAATTTTGTCTTACTTTATTGCTTGATCCTTTATTGGTGTAAACCAAAAAAAAATGTGTTCTCTTTTGGTTATATATATTGAGATCATACTTCGATTGAAGACGGTGAGCTTCATAAACGATTGTTACACTGAATCTGACACAATGGGAGCTTGTTAACGTATATCGTCAAAGGGATTGGAGCAAGAGATTGCAGCACAAAGTTCAAGAAGAAAGTTCTTTTAAATTTATGTATAAGACAATATGTATTGTGTCATATTTCTCCTTTGGACAGCATTGAAACTTCCACTATGTTCCTTTCCTTCGGCCTCCTAATACTTCTTATGGGGCATTGAATTATTGCTCCTCTTTTGCCTCGGATGAGTTGATTGTCTTTCAATGGATTTGAATCCCAAATTCAACCTTTGAAGGGTTTTTGTCAAATGCTTCATGTAGTGGAAAAACTTTATTAAATTATCTTGCTAAGATATTGGCAGCAAAACAAAGCAAAGTAACTAAGAAAATTGAACTCACAAGCACTCCCTCACATGTTTACACTCGTAAAGGTATACTCACTCGTGTTTACACTCAAAACAACAACACTCCCAACAAACTCACAATTTCACTCCCATAAGCCAATGAGCAAGTTACTCAAAAAAAAAAAAATTTACATTCAAGATTTAATACTAAACAAAATATTGAAAAGGGTTTAAGAGTGCATAAACTTTCAAACTTATTTTATTTTAGTCCTAAAATTTTTAAAATTGTATGTTAATCCTTAAACTTACAAAATTGTACTACCTCTAGATTATTGAACTTTTAAAATAATAGATTGAAAAATAACTATATTAATCTTTACAATTAATTTTTTTTCAAACAAAATTGTTAACATGAATCAACATGGCTTATGGTGATGTGAACACATATTTAAGCATATATTTAAGTAACAATGCTTGCCTGTACTATTTTTTATTTCATTTAATAGACGAATCCCACTAAATTTGTTAGTAAAAAATAGTCACATAAAATAATGAACTCTTTTTTTGTTTCCATCTCGCCATTTCATTCTATTTCATAAACCCAATCGAATCTTTATAATAATGAAGGTAGAAAAGTGAGACACTTTCCCTAGCATAAAAATAAATAAATAAATAAAGGATGACGACTATCAAAAAAACAAGGGAGAGGGACGAGAGGCTCGAAAGAAGGTGAGAATTAGCACCATCCCCTCACATCCATACAAGACTTGCTACATATCATCTCAGATATAAAATCTAATACAATGTTTTTTTCAGCATACCATATCCGAACCTATAAGATAATTTGCCAAAAATAATTAAAAATTGACATGATAATAATCTAATTCAGATATAAAATCTAAAAAAAATTAAGTTTAAATACTATTTTAGTCCGAGACTTTAGTTATATTAATAATTATTCACCTAATTATATTATAACTGCAGCATTTATGCAGGCTAGAACCTTGAAAACTAGAGTGGTAGGAAAATATACAAATAACATTGAAGAGAATTATAAGGCATCCATAAGAGCCCTAGCTGTACAATAGATTTTCTCTCCAAATGTATCGACTCATTTCGACAAACATCATCATAGTCCTAGAGCTTTTGATACGCGCAAATACGAAGAAGAAGAAAAAGAAAAAGAAAAAGAAAAAGAAACTAAAGATCTTGAGAGAAAAAGGCCATGAAACTGAATGAATCAATGGGCAAATGCTTGTACTGCTATATGGGAAGGCATTGCAAACTACCATATAAAATATTTTCTCAAAAAGTAAAACAATCAGCAGAATCCATTCTAAAATAGATAGCAAAATTATAATTAC